AGATCTATCAGACTCTCTCACAGTACGACCGGACTCGAGTCATGATGCAGATCAGCGAAATTTGAGCTTATGAAGTTCCTATGGGCCATCTTACGGACTGCAAGGATGTTCGAACTGGTGACCGGATTGAAAGGAGTTCCTCAAGACAAGTAGCAGAGGCTGCTTGTGATGGCTTTGAGAGGGGAGCGTATCGCGACACGCATCAGGTGGACCATCCATGTACCTGCGGAAATCATGGTTGCAGATGCGATGACGAAGCCTGGAGTCTTCAAGCAAATGATGAAGCTACCCACGACAGGTTTCTTGGACATTGAGTCTGTTCAGAAGGTGGCAACGGCGCGACGCATTGTCCACAGGCCAGATGAGTACCAGGAGTCCGACCAGGAGTCGATCCACAAGTTCAACTACGAGTACGACGACAATGCCAACATGCTCGTGCCAACATGTTCGTCAACAGGGTTCGTTTTGATCCTCGTTTTTCCGGAGACTGTGTTTAGAGGTTTTACATATCCGCAACAGCCCACTCAGAAAGTAGAGAGAAATTTGGAATACCAGCGGACATTAGATGCAAGCACGGTAACAGTCTTTGGAGTCAGACAAGAGGTTTGATCAAGTATAGTATCTGTTCCGTACGCATCGGGGCTCAGGGCTTCGCGAATCGAGACTAAACACTTCAGTGGCTCGCCCCCCGTTTCGAAACGCGGCGCCGAATGTTCCCCAGACAAGCGCCGTGAAACGCGTTCTCTCTGATGTTCATGTGTTATTGATGAAGGTCTTCGAAGGATTTGGACGTGCGCGCGCGGCCGACGCGCGCGGACGGCCTGCATGGTGTTATTTGACGGAGATCGTGCCCCCCCAACGCGCAAGGACGTTCGAGTAATTTCGACATGCGCGCGCAAGAGGCCCGCTTGGTGTGATTTGGGGAACATGTTGAACACCCATGGTTTCGTAACAGTTTGCCATCACGCGCGCATATTTTTGAATGAAGTTTTATCGTTTCAGGGTCAAAGGACACATGTGCTCGGGTACCTCGGCATTGAAATATCTAGGGCACAAGGTTTGAACGGATTTTGATTTGTGCGTGCGACGACGTGCGTGTGGACATTGTTTAGCTTGTTTGTTTTTGAAACATGTGTTTTTGATGAACGAATGCTTGCGCATCGTGCTACTAGACGACGAGGTGCGGGCGGCGATGACGGTATTCCTAGGGATGGTGTGCGTTCTTCTGCAGAGTGGCCGACAGGGCAAACATGTATGTGATTTGCAGCGTTTCATGGGGGTACCGTTCATTCCGGCCTCGGGGGGTGGTATAATCATTCCTCAAGTGAAAAGAGAATGTATGTGGTGCAATTATTGTTGGCTGTCTTGAAGCTGTCCTCTCCAATGCTCGTGCAAACATCCCACCCTCCCACCCGCAACTTGGTCGCAGGACCTCTTCAGACCGTGACGGTAGGTACCAAATTGCACTTGGCAACGACACCGACGCCGACGACGACATCGACAACGACGACGACGACGCCGCCGACACTGAGTATGACGACGCCGACGACGTCTCCAACGACTTTGACGACGACGACGCCGACGCCGACGACGACGACGACACCGACGACGACGTCGACAACGACGCCGACGGCGACGTTGACAACGCCGACGACGACAATGACGACGCTGACGACGACGACGTCGACGACGCCGACGACGACGACGAAGAAGGAGGGAGGACGGCGACGCCGACGGCGACATTGACGAGGGAGGAGGGAAGACGACGACGACGAGGACGACGGCGACGAAATAGGAGGGACGACGACGAGACGCCGACGACGGACGACGATGTCGAGGGAGGAGGAGGGACGACCACGGCGACAACGACGACGGAAACGACTACGACGCCAATGAGGACGACGACGACGACGAGGATACAGAGGACGACGACGGCGACGACGACGACAACGACCAGGGAGGAGGGAGGACGGCGACGACGACGACGACGACGCAAGAGCGCGCGGGCGCACGGTTTTGTTGAAAATCCGTGTTGCAAAACTCGGTGTTTTTGTATGTGTATTTTGGGCATTCGATTTTGAAATCATTCCGAAACCGAAGGTTTTGAATCATTTCGGCATGCGCGCGCGACGACGCGCGCGCGCACTTGTTACATTTTTGCAGAGGATTCGCGGCGGCACGCGCGCAAGGGCGTTCGACAAATTTCGACATGCGCACGCGCAAAGCTCGTGTGGTAGTATCTGTTATTGGGAATATTGAAACACCGATGGTTTTCTTAAGATTTCGCAAGAGCGCGCGCGTAAATTATGTTGAAAATCAATGTGTCGAAACCCTGTGTTTTTACATGCTTATTGGGAACTCGATAGCAAAATCCTTCCGAAACCGATCATTTTTGACGGATTTCGGCATGCTTGCGCGACGACGCGCGCGTGTGCACTTCGTTTCATTTTTTGCAAGGGGTTTTTGAAAACTTGTGGTTTTTGATAAACGAGTGCGCGTGCATAGTTTGTTTTTGCAGAGGATGGCGGGGGGAAGTGATACCGGCCTGGCTGGGATATTATGAATTCATATTTAGTATGGACGATGGGGCAGCATCATATGTAAATTGCAATGCGAAAGGGGGAACCGTGAACTCCGGGCGGGGTAGAGTCTATTCTTCTTGAAGATCTGAGAATAAGTGAATGGGTTACGACGGGGTGGCGACAGGGCGGCGGCGACGAGGCGGCGACGGCGTCGACACAGCCGCCAGATCTACACCGCCGCCTAGTTCCTTAGAAGAGGAGCTCGACACCCTAAAAGTAGCATGTGGAGGAAAACAACGCGACGCAGTGGAAGCAGGGCGAAGCCCAGAAAACCAGCGCAATGCAAAGCAATGCGACTCAAGTCAATGCAAAGTGAATTCTTAAGCAAACATATGCAACACAGTTCAAATCAACGCGGGCAGTGTGAGGCAACGCAAAGGAAGCAGTGCAAGTCAAGGCGCACTGCAATGCGAGGTCGCGCGCAGCAGTGTAAAGTATCGCAGGCCCAGACGGCGACCACATAGCCGCCAGACCGACGGACAGGCCCAGAGCAACGAGGCGGCGACGACGACCACGTAGCCGCCAGACCGACGGACGAGCTCAGACAACGTGCCGCGACGAGGCGGCGACGGGGCCGCGACGGCGACCACGTAGCCGCCATACCGACGGGCGGGCCCAGTCCTTGAGAGAAGAAGTGGGAACCTTTAAGTGCAAGCGTTGTGTTGTTTCGGGGACCGTTGCACTTTTTCCTTGCCCTGCGTGTAAGCAGTAAGCGGAACGGGCCTGACATTTTCGGGGCAGAGTCAGGGGAGATAGGGGAGCATTATTCATATGGTGTAGCTGTGGAGGAGGAGGGGGATGGGGAGGGGGAGGGGGGAGGAGGAAGACGAGGAGGACGAGGAGGACCTTTAGTCGAGCACGATTTAACTGTTAAATGTCTAGCATCTCTGGTCTTTTTCACTTGCCCAATCTGACACTAATATTGTAGTGGCCTCCGGCCAGTGCCGCCGATCCCGGGCATTCCGAATGATGATGATGATGATGATGATGATGATGATGATGATGATGGTGATGTTGATGATGATGATGATGATGATGATGATGATGATGATGAATGATGATGATGATGATGATGATGATGACGAATGATGATGATGCTGATGATGATGATGATGATAATGATGATGATGATGATGATGATGATGATGATGATGATGATGATGATGATGATGATGATGATGATGGTGGTGATGTGACGATGGTGATTGTGATGGTGATGGTGATGTTGATGGAGACGGTTAGGATCCCGGCCCCCCCCAACCCCCCCTCCTCTCTCCTTTTCCCCCCCACTTTCTCCTGTCCCCTACCTCCGCCTTCTCCCTTGTCTTTTTCTCCTCTTTGTCCCCCCCCCCCTCTCCTGTCCCCCCCCCTTTCTCCCCCCCCGCTCTCTCTACCTCCGCCTGGCAGGCGTATACTTTGTGCCCTTGCGGGCCCACTGGCTTTTTCTTCTTTGCCTCTAGCGCCCTTCTGTTCTCGGATACGCCCGCCAGGCGTAATTTGTTAGCCCACAGGTCTAAGTCAGTAGCATTGTACTTTTTGATCCGCGCCTCGCAGGCGCAGCGTTCGTGCAAGAACGCAAGAGCCAAGATGCCAATGTATGGTCAACGTCAAAAGGAGGAGGAGGAACAATAATAGGAGGAGGAGGAGGAGGAGGACGAGGAGGAGGAGGAAGAGGGGGAGATGGAGGAGTGGGAGGACGAGAGGAGGATGGCCGAGGGGAGGAAGAGGAGGAGGGAGGAGTATCGATCTTCGAGGCTCGAGGATCGAGGTCAGGCGGCCAGGGATTGAGGTTCGAGCATCGAGGTTCGACCATCTAGGTGCGAGGCTGCAGGTTCGAGGCTCGAGGCTCGGGGGTCGAGGTTTGAGGTTCGAGGTTCGAAGATCGAGCAGCCCCGAGGTTCGAGGTTCGAAGCGCTCGATGTCGGGCTAAACATTAGGCCCCTGGTGGCCGCTCGGGAGAATTCGGGCACCCCCGGAAGAGGACTCGGGGAGGCGCAGCTTCCGGAGGCTGGAGAAATCCAGGGGGCCGACAAGACGTCTCAAACTCTTCAACCTCTAACCTCCTTCCCTTCCTTTCCCCCCCTCCCGCCCCCTTCCTTCCTTCCTCCGCCCAACCAGTGTTCCAACTTACTGAGAGTGGAGCTTCCACCTGACCCCAAACGAGGACGCATTTGAAGCGCCAAGTTACAAGGGAATTCAGTCCCACGCATCCCCGGGTGTATGACTGCAACTGTCTGTCTGTCAGTCTGTCTGTCTGTCTGTCTGCCTGTCTGTCTGTCTGCCAGAAGCGCCAAGTTACATGTGAATTCAGTGTCCTACGCATCCCCGGGGGTACGACAGCATCTGTCTGTCTGTCTGTCTGTCTGTCTGTCTGTCTGTCTGGCTGGCTGTCTAACCTCGAATGGGGTTCCCGCCGAGGCCACCCGGCAGGGCCTTCGTCCTCGTCGTCCAGTCGGGGACCGCGAGCCGGGCACCACGGTGGCGGCGGGGGCCCAGCGAGGTCACAAGGCTTGGACCGCCCATTGCTGGTGACGAGGAGGAGGAGGAGGAGGAGGAGGAGGAGGAGGAGGAGGAGGACCAGGTCCGCCCCTTGCTAAGCCGTTGCTGCTTTGCCCCCCGCAACGTCGTCTCTCGTCCCTCCTGTTTCCAGAAAGTGGAAGCGTTGTGCACGGCGGTCTAGCAAACTTTGGTGTTTCCAGGGCAACTATGAGTGGAGGAACAGCTGTCTCCGCTGCAACATATCCGACAAGGGCCCGTTGAGCATGGAGCAGCTTCCGCGCGGTCGGTGGGCCAACGGGGTACCTCCAGGAGTGCGTGCCCGGTCGCAGCAGCAGCAGCAGCAGCAGCAGCAGGCTCCGCCCCAGATGCAGTTCACCGAGGCCCAGCTCCAGGTCTACGCGAGATGGAGGCCGCAGAAAAGAGCAGGTAGAGGGACACCTGGAGCATTCGGCGCATGACCTGATTCGGCGGATGCGCAGCCTGCGCCCGGGAGATCCCACAGTGGTCATCGAAACCTCACGGAAGGAGCACGAGCAGCTTACGCAGCAAGTTGTTATGTTCGTTCCTTCAGCCTCTGTTTTAAGCGCCCATCCCCTTACCGTTGCTGGCGTTTGGCTCAAACTATAGAGTGATTTGTATGTATGTACTTGAGCGGGCGCGGCCGCGCCCGGAAAAAAGGAAACGGCCGCAATCATTAGTGCGCACATATCATGCATATTTTTGTTTGACGGGTATACCACGCCATGAAACGAATCGCAATCTACAATATGTTCATGAAATGAGGTCAGGGACCTAGGAGAAGAGAGTGGGGATGATGCTCCGTTGTCATCATCATCATCATCATCATCATCATCATCATCAGCATCATCATCATTATCATTATCATTATCATCATCATCATCATCGTCATCATCATCGTCATCGTCATCGTCATCGTCATCATCATCATCATCATCAGCATCAGCATCAGCATCAGCATCAGCATCAGCATCATCATCATCATCATCATCATCATCATCATCATCATCATCATCATCATCATCATCATCATCCGTAGCCATTTTGGCTCAAGCGAAACCCTGTGAAGCTAAAATAACGTAGCGAATCATGGATTCGCTTGACCTGTCCGTCGCCTGGCGCAAGCTGGTTTTGGCTTGCTTGCTGCTTTCCCGACCCCTCCCCGGACAGATCGATCTGTCGCCGCGATGCCAGAGGTTGATATGACCGCTCATGTGAAGGGTCTGACGACCCAGGTGGAGATGTTAGTCAAAGGAGTACTCGAGCTCAAGGAAGGCCAGACGGCGCACGTGAAGGCTCTTGAGGGCCACGCGACTCTCCTTGCCCAGCTCAGTGCACAATTCTCTGAGTTGGGTCTTCTTACGAAGTCGGCTCAGCAGGATATTGCAGCAGTGCAAAAGAAGGGTGGAGTACATTACCGTCTCTTGGCCGAGCTCCGTCGTGATGTAGACAGTGGCGAAAGTTTTCACAGTGATGCTTATAGAGGCTCGGCTCCAGATCGTAAGAAAGTTTGTTATGTGGGTGGCGCTTTGTTCACGTCCAGAACTTCTCAGTATTCTTTGGAGGCGAAACAGGTCAATGCTGGTTGGTTTCAAGGACGGTTTAGTAAGAAGATTCTTGAAAAGGCAGGTCATGCGATTCTCTTCTCTTGTGCGGCTGTTGAAGTCCAGCAGCAGATGAAGGTCACTCCTCAGAGTTTCGCGAAGAAGGTGAGTCTTGCCTTTTCCTCGGCGTCAGACGTCCAGGAAACGTTCAGATGCTTTCGGAAGAACTTCCCCTACGGTTTCGGTTTCGACACCCCTCGCGGTCAGGTCTCGCTCCGTCTGAAACCGCTCAGAGATCAGGCCACCAATGAGCAGTCCAGTGTCACCGGTGGAACCCGGAAGCTTCTCTCGAACCTCTCATCGACTTCGGGCGGGGGCTCCGTTTCCAGTCCTCGAAAGTGGATTCACACACTACACACATATATATATATATATATATATATATTGAAAATGATAATACGGGTGAGACCCGCAAGCTCTTCCAGGTCGGGAAGCCAGGTGTCGATGCCACGAAACCGAACGTCACCTCGTTTCCGTGTACGTTCAAGGCCCCGAAGATTGAGGAATCGAAACCGCAGGAGATTGTGGAACAGGTTTTCGAAGAGTTGCGTGTGACACGACAGCAGCAGACTCGCCAACGGCAATTCCTGAGCGAGAAGGTACCATCACTCTCGAGATCGCCTCTCTCTTGAGTGCTGGGGATTCTGTAGAGGCGCAGCGAAGACTGAGGGGATCAGTCTGAATTCGTTCCTTCCGTTCTTGCTTGCAAAATCGGTGTCTGTGGTGACGTGGAATTCCAGGGGTTATTGCGACGGCCTGACGGCCGGTGCCGCCGACCCTGAAGACGAAGCTGTCTG